GGGCCGCAGGATGACCAGGCTGGTGCGGGATTTCCTCTACGCCCAGCGCGTCCAGGCCCCTGTGGAGCTCTACTCCGACTGGCTGGCCATGGGCAACATCAACGAGTTTGTCACCTTTGTCCCCTCCTCTGACAAAAAGGTACCCCCGGACCCCTCATGTTGCCCCACGGTTCCTCCTCCGGGACGCCGATCCCGCTGGGAAAACCCTGGAGCTCGTTCCTTTGGCACTCCCAGACAGCGTTTGCTTGGGTTTCATTCCCCACCCCAAAATGAGGGATCTGAGCACAAAAAAAAAGGGATTTGCTGAGCTATTAATGAACGCAAATAGAAGGGGAAAAGTGCCTGTGAAGGTATCCAAGAAATTCCAGATTTAAGATTCCCGGGGCTTTGCAGCGACTCAGCATCTCCCAGAGGTTTGCAGAGCATTTCTTTTCCTGGTTCTGACATGGATTTTTTCTCTAAGGGAAACGAGCCTTGACCAGGATGGTTCAAAAAAACAAAAGGAATTATTTATGCCCACATGTTTTCAGATCATTTCTCTTCCCTCTGTCATGGTTTTCCCTGCTTCTGACATGGATTTTTCCCTCAGGGAAACCAAACCTTGACCAGGATGGCTCAAAAAGAAAGGCATATTTATGCCTACATGTTCTCAGATCATTTCTCTTCACTTTATCAAGGCTTTGGTGCTTCTCACATAAATTTTTCCCTTGAGGAAACCAAGCCTTGACCTGGATGGCTCAAAAAATGAATATTTAGACCCACAAACCCTCCACAGGTTAAACGAAGCACTAGACAGCAGCAAAGACCCGATTTTAAGCGTTTCAGCTCGGGTTTTTGCAGAAGTGAGTCCCTGGGGCTCGGCGGGGCTGCAGCTGAGCCGGCCGTGTTCCCGCAGCGATTCCGGATGCTGCTGGCCAGCCCGGCCGCCTGCTACCGGCTCTTCCGCGAGAAGCAGAAGGAGGGCCAGGGAGAAGCCACCATGTTCAAAGGCAAGGGGACAGCGCTCGGTGGCACAGCCGGGGCCGCGCGGGGACGTTTCCCCGCTGGGTGTCCTTCAGCGGGATGCCTGCGCGCCGCCCCCGGCCTCCTCCGGCCCTATTTCGGGAAAGCGAGTGGGATGGGAGGGATAAGGGCCTCTGCGTGGAGGGGATGTTTGCTGCCAGGGATGGAGCCTCTGGAAATGC